ATTCTGATATTTCTTAAAGAAAAGTCAGTCTTTAAATCTCCCTTCAGAATGTTAAGAGCTATGTAGGTGTACTCACAAAACAGAGCTTGAAGATAAAGGACTACCACTGCATCTTTAGAAAGGCAACTACATACACTTGCTAGAGGCTTGAACTTCTTTATACTATTTCAAGTTTTACAGTTTATTTCTTCCAAGTCTCTGCACCAGCACAAGATACTAATACAGGCAATTTTTGCTCACTTAAGCACACTTATCTCTTAATCACTTAATTTCATGAGAACTATCACTTAAGGTTCATGATTACTCTCCAGTGATATCAAAGCAGCAGCAGACTGAAACTAAGTTTTAGTACAGAAACCTATCTGATCATATTTATACAGAGTTTGAAAACTCATAAAGCAACTCACCAGTGAAAGCCCCAGTGAAAGCTTTTGGAAAGGTCAAACTGAATAGAATACAGGATCTCTCTACATATAAACGCATCTTACCTTGGATGTAATAGCCATCTCGCAGACCACCAAATTTCTCCTGGCCAGCTGTGTCCCATACATTAAATTTAATAGGGCCTCTATTAGTATGGAATACCAGAGGATGAACTTCAACACCCAACGTTGCTGCAGTGATAGGAAAGAGCACTCAGTAAGTTGAGAACTATACTTTCAATTGTAACACACTAGATCTTGAATATTTCTTCAGACATACCTACGTATTTCTTCTCAAATTCACCAGTCAAATGACGTTTTACAAATGTTGTTTTACCAGTGCCACCATCACCAACCAGGACAAGCTGTTAATACAATTGAAAAAGAAGGTCAGAGCGACGTACTTTGTCTTACAAAATACTGTAAAGCAAACACTGAAGTTCCCAATGAAATCACTTACTGTGTTGGCCTCTAATTTGTTAAACCTATCATTCGATAACTCCTGACCAAACTCAGCTGGTCCTTATAATTGAGAACTAGAACGCATCGTCCATACAGTTATACTAACATACAAGCATCTCAATTACTGGAGGAAAGAACTGTAATCTTGCAATCAGAAAAAAAAAACTGTTTTACTAACAAATGAGATATACTGGATGAACACTGTAAAACAAAAAAAAAAAGTATCAGTCTTCCATGAAGCAGTCTTAATGACTTCTGGCTGTTAAGGTAACAACTCTACTCAATAATGCTCTGCCCCCAGTAGTTGATACAACATAAAACAGTTGCTCTAAATAACTCTTAACACTTTCTTTATTGCTGTGAATATGACTCCATGCAGTCAACACATTTTAAATGGCGCTTTATGTAAAGTTATTTTTATACAGAGCTGCAAATAGCACCAGATTGATAGTGCAACAGAATGTTGTTGTAAAGCAATGCAGTACACAATGGGTTAGGCACAGTGCTAAGAAGTCAGCACTTTAAAACCAAATCTACCATCCACAGCAGTTCTTGAGAGTTGTTCTTGCTACTCTTCTAAAGTAAGAGGAAGAAAAATACAAAGTTAAGACTCCTTACCTTAAACTGCACTTGGGGCTCTCCTTGGGCGGCCATGCTGGGTCTGCAGGGGAAATGGAAGCATGTGAGCTCACAGAGGCGAGCTGGTTCAAGGCCCCGCCGGAAGGGGCCGGCCGCCGCTTTCGGCTCCCAAACCGCCTCCCGGGGCGCGTGCTTCGCGCGCCAGTCAGCGGCCGTCGCCGCGTAGGCCGAGCTACGGTCCGGGCCGCCTCTCCCCTCTCCGCGCGTGGTCCCGGGCCTCGGATGGGGCAGGAAGAGCCTCCGGGCCGCCCCGCACGCGGCGGGAGCGTGCGGTAATGGCGGCAACGGCTCCCCGCCCGGCCCCGGAGCCCGTAACGGAAGGCCGCCGCGCCCCTCGGGCTTCCAGGCTACGAAAACGGGGCCGAGCCGCGGCCTCCGCGGGGCGCCTCAAAGAAAGCCGGCCTCGCTCCATAGGAAGCGACGCCCCGCGTGACTCTCCCAGCCCACTGGAAAACCCTCTCGGGCGGCGAAGCTCCGAACTCGTCCCGCAGGGCTCCGAACGCGGCCCCCATCCCCGCGACGCCGGCCGGGCCCCACCGCACCATGACTGAGCAGCGCGCCGCCTCCCCTCCCCCCGCGGCCGCCCGGGCCGTTGGAGGCCCCGCTCCCATTCTCCTCCCGCCCGCCCTTTCCTCCGAGACGGAGACGGGCGCCGTTCTCGTCCCGCACCGCTCCCATCGAGGGGCGGAGGCCAGGGCCGCCACGCAGGCACGGCGCCCGGCGCGGCACTCACGCGGGCCCGGCCTCAGTTCGACCCAGCCCGGCTCCCGCAGAGCGGCCGCTAACGGAAACCACCCCCACCGCCCCATTCGCGGCGGTCCCGCTTCCCCCCACCCAGCCCTACAGGGAACAGAAGGACGCCCCGACCCCGTTACCTTTCCCGAGGCTTCTATCCGCGTCGCTCCGTGCCGTGACTGGGCGCTGGAAAGATGGCGGAAGCGCGGTTCAAATACCCGGAGAGCGACGCCGCGCGGCCGCGGGGAGGGGGAGGGGCCGGCGTCACGTGGGCGGGCGGGCTCGCCGTCGGACCCGCGGCGGCCGTTGTTGGGCGCCATGGCCGCGGCTCGGCGGGCCGGCCCGGTTCCGCAGGATCCGGCGCCTCATGTCTCTGCGCGGCCGGCAGCCGTTGGACCACGCGGCTGCCGCTGGAAAGGAGGCGGCTGGGCAGTGCTTGGCTCCGCGCTGCCCCGTAGCATTTCTCTAAACCCTCACGTTCAGAGCGTAGCGGAACAAAGTTGTTCGTAAACTCTCTTTGAAAGGACGGAGCAGATGCTTTGCAGAGAGCAATGCATTCCCAGTTTCTGGCTTCACACTTGTGTCCGTGTGCTCTGATTTTTCCCCTGCTGTGGTTAGGCAGTGTTCGTGTGGTCTGCATAATGCCGGTTGGAGCATCCATAATCTAGAATTGATGGATTTTTAAACGCCTCTGTCCTGAAATAACACCAGCGTTATTCAATGGTAGATGTTACATGCAAGTGCAGCTTTTGTCCTGTTCATCTCCCACTTCGTAGCAAAATGGAGAGAAAATCTGCAGGAGCCACTGCACTTTGCTCTACATTTTGTTTATTTGATAGCAATTGAATCTTAAGCATTGCATAAGTTTTTCTTTGTTGGAAAAACACTGTCTTGCTGAGCTGGTTGCTTCTTTTCTTTTTTCTTTTTTTGGACAAACTAGATTTTTGGTGCTTGTTCTGTTGGTGTTCTTTAGCACGTTTGCTGATCACCTCCAGGTGCTAGGAAGAATATGGAATATGTTTTGGAGTATGTAGCCCATACATTTTCCTCAGCACAGTAATATCTTTATAAAACCCATGTGAATTCTACTCTTCTTCTTGAACTAATAGGTGTACATTTATAAATAGGAGCCCACAAAGCCAAGTTAATGGAGTTTGGCATTTTTTAATATAAAAACTTCCAGGGAATAAAAAAATCAATCTCTAACTTTGTTTGCAGAATGCTCAGTGTACTTCACAAGCTTCTCAGAGTAAGAAATTTATAAGTTAACAATCTTCTCTTTCAAACATGAGCAGTAATACTATTTGATACTTTAACTTGGAATAAGTAAAATCAATGGCTAAAAGTCCCTTACCACAAGTTTTGAGCTCCCGTCAAATATTTGCAAAGTCTTATAAATTACTGCGTGGGATCCAGGTGCTATCATCATGCAAAAGTCAGTGTTCAGTTCAGAGGATGTACAAAACACTTGCTCCTGATAGCTTCATTCAGGAAAGGCAACAGAATGCTTCCAAAGTGTTCATCAGCAGTGTTAGATCACTATCTAAGAGATTAGCCAGCTATCACTAGATAATCAGCAGAATAATTACCTTTAAAACACTTCTACGTGACATTCCCCATATCTTGATTTGGGTCAGCTATGAACAAACTCAGCATCTCGCTGAGGCAGACGAGTGTGCAGGGTAAAAGGCAGACCCTTCAGTAAGGGTGTGAAGGTGCCCATGAGGAATGGTGCAAAAGGATACAGTCACAGAGCTGAATGGTATCTTAACTTACTGACTGCCTTATTAGCAGGAAACAAAATCAGTTTGTAAACTGTGACAAGGACAACATGTGGACATATCTCTCAGGTCAAGCAGTGATTGTGGAAGCAGCTCTGGAATAGGAGCTCCAGCAGGAGCCAAGGTCTACGCTGATATTCAAGGCAACACCAGAAACTGCACTGAAAGGTTTGAAGGGAGGTTAGTGACTTTCAGCACGGCAGGCAAAATGGATCACACGCTAGTAATAGCAGTTTATGGTGCTGTCATGAAGTTTAAATTTGCAGTCTAACACTAGAATAAAATTCTTTACTGCTTTGGGGGTCCTATCACTGCAAGGCAATGCTTTTCAACGCCTTGTAGCTGAAGAGTTACAAAAAGTGGGTGCTCCATCTGCTGCTGCAGGAGAGCGTGCTTCTCCTTTCCACTCAGAAACGGGTCGCTCAGCTGCCGGACGGTGAGCAGCAGCCCATGCGCTGCTGGGACTAACCGTGATTTTGAGAAGCCTATCCACGTCGAACACCAGAGAAAAATTAAATGAAATGCAACGACATGGCAACGTTTTACAACTCTCTCCCTCGCGACAGTCACGGTTTCTTGAGGGTATATATTCAGCAGCACTGCCGCCTCGAGAGCGGAACCTCCCTGCGGGTCACTGCAGTACCGTACAGCCGCGCGCGCCCCTGCACACGCACGTACGCTTTCCCGCCCATTCTCCCCACGGCACAACCCCGCCCCCTCCGCTCGCGCAGCCGCAGATCCCTTCCCGCCCAGCATCGCCCGCCCGTCGCGTCAGAGCTAAGGCGGGCTTCCCGGTGCGGCGGGCGCCGCCGGGGGCTCGTAGGCCGCATGCGCTAGGCCTCGGAGCGTCACTCCGGGGCACTGGGGGCGGGTGCGCGCTGCGCCGCGGGCTCCGGTTCGTCGAGACGTCGTGTGGGGAGGGGTCTCAGCCGCCGCCCCACGCACCGCGGAAGGAGGGCGGGGCCCGAGCGCTGGGCCCGGCCTGAGCGGGGTGGCGGCGGCTACGGCGGCTGCTGCGAGCGGGCGGCGAAGGGCGAGCGGACCCGCGGGCGCGGCACTCGGCGAGGAGCTGAGGCGCCGCGGGGATGAAGGACCGGCTGGCTGACCTAGCAGAGGTGAGGGCGGCAGGGGCCAACATGGCCGCGGGGCGTAACGGTCGGAGAGGGGTGCGCGGCCCGGGCCGCCGCAGCGGCGCCACAGGCGTGTCCTCGGGCGGGAAATGCGCGGGCTGCGGGGCTCCGGCCGCGCCGGGCGCGTTTTGCTGCCCTGCGGTGCGGGACGGGAGACGTGTAACCGGCAGTGCGTCGGTCCAGCTCTCCGTAGGGTTTATTTTGCCCATGTTGACAAAATGGAAGTGTGGCGTGTTTATCCGTTCCCTTCCTTCCCTTCGTTTTTGTTCTGGAAACGACGTTCTGAGAAAGAAAATGGGGTAGTTGGAGGTGCGACGATGCCTCTCATCAACAGGATGTGGCCTGGTATAAATGAAAATTTTCCTGCATGGCTTTTCACTTTTTTTTTTTTTTTTTTTTCTAATCTGAGAATAAATAGAAATGGTGAACGCCAGTGTATGTTGTAAATGCTCTCCCTTTTCGGTTAAGTGTGGTATTTCTTTTAGAGGAAATAGAAACTGAAGTTTGCAAGTTGTTAGAAGTGGTAACGCCTTTCTTGAGCCCTCTTTTTGAAGGGGAGAAAAATGTTACCTGTCAGTGCTTGTGGTTTATTAAGGTATAACATTGTAGCTTTTTGATATTGTTGTTAATACATTGTATTTGGTACTTAAATAGTGTTAAAATACTTGCTGGAGAAAGAAATTGCTTGCCTGTAACAGTTACTATAGCCTTCAGGTAATGCTGCATCCCCTTTGCAACTAGAGGAAATCATGCTTTCTATAGAAGGTGGGAACCTTAGTGTTGTGCTGAACCTGTTGGCTGCCTGGTACACCTTGTCTGTCAGCAAAGGAGCAATGTCGGTGCTCTGAAAGAATCTCTTGAAACACGTGTGGTTTGAGTAAACTGTTGCGGGTCAGGGGGAAGTCTGGTGTCTACAGATTTCATGACACCTGGGGCAACACCTCTGCAGTAGGAAATTCTCTAATAAGTATTTAAGGAGGCTTAGAGGACTTCAACTTTAATGTGGGACCTACGGAGATCAAGTCCGGCTTCCTGACCTCTTCAGTTTTAACCAAAAGTTAAAGCATTGAGAGCATTATCCAAACGCTACCTGAAGACGTGGGATGTCAAACCACCATGCCAGGTTGTCTGTTCTAGTTTCTAACCACCTTTGTCTTGAATAACTTCCTAGTGCCTGATCCAAACCTCCCAGGTGCAGTTCTGTGCTGTTCTTGTGTAAGCTGACATCAGTTCTGTGAGAAAAGAGCCCAGCACTGCCTCTGCTTCCTCTCCTTAGTAAGTTATAGGGAGCAAGGGCATCAACTTAGTCTCCTTTTTCTCCAGATTAGATAAACCAAATGATTTGAGAGTGCATAAAAACGCATTAAGTAGTATTTTTTACGAGTTAAAGGTTGCTTGTTTAACAAAGGTAATGAGTTACCTGGGACGGGCAACTATAAAAGATTTACAGTGTCCTGAACATTGCTTCCTTATATGCTGTTCAGTTCTATGAATAACGTAGGAGTGCGTGTGTAAAGCTATGGTGTGCAGGGGCAGCTGTGAATCTGGTATTTGTGACTCTCAGACATGTTTCTATCCCAAATAACTTCAGACAGCACAGTTTATTTAGCCTGTAAGTTCTCCGTGCAATTTTTAAAGGTATTGTAAGTTGTGCGTGGACAGCAGCTAAGCACCTGCTGCATTCTCAGAGTGGAGGTAGATGGGGTGTGGTGGTGCTGTACTTCAGGAGCTGATTTCACTGCAGTGTTCTGCTCCAGTCTGTCAGCTGGTTGGCTCTGACTCACTGGGGTGGTGATGGTCAGTTGTTTTTGTAGCCTGACACAAGAAGACAGCTCATGATCTGCAGTGAGAATGACTTTGAATTGAATTCAGGGGCTAGTAAAAGTCATTTTTAAACCAAAAATCTGTTCTATTTCAAAATTTAGTAATTAATTTGATAAGGGTTCTTGAACTAGCCTTACTTCTGCCATTATGGAAGGCATGCATAATGTCAGAAGTTGAATAAAGCATCCTATCTCAGCTGGGAGCTGAGAGAAATATTTGCCCAAGTATCTGGATTCTGTCATTTAACCCCACCTTTGAAGAAACTTGATGTGTTTTGTATGTCTGAATGTTAGAGGTGTATGGCCCAGATTCTCAATCCCAAGGTCAAGATTAGAGCTGCCAACAGACCATTAGCTTGCCATTGGCATAAACATGAGACTTTTCTTAATCAGTTCTTTTTGTAATAGTACTTATTCTATAGAGATAAGGCTTAGGAATATGTTTCTGCTAAATTTCATCTTGGATGGACTGTGCTTGTCAAAAGAACATGTCACTTCAGTTGAAGAGTTAGTGAATAAGCTGTGTCTTAGGTATGTGATGATTTAAGAACATAAAGAACAGAGGGTGACAAGTCATCAGGTGTCCTTCAAGTGCTGATGTTCAAAGTAGACAGTACATAAATCTTTCAGCAAATTGTAGGGAGCCAATTTATCTGTCATTCACGTCACTGCAACCAAACGTGAAACGAAGTACATGTGGGACAGACTGCAGGCTGCCTGATGGTGCAGCTCAGCTTCGTTGCAGCTGCACTTGTACAGACAGGACTTGGGAGAAAGACTTCATACCTTTTGTTTGATTAAGATTGGCTCAGATGTTTAGTGTTTCAATAAGATGTGACCACAGAAAAAGCTAACTTTTAATCTCTTAACTGATACTATTTTCTTTTTTTGTTTGTTTCATTATCTAAATAAGTTCCTTATAAATAATTAGGAAACATTTTTTATTCATTAAATGTATGCAGAAGGTGTTCTTTACATAAATGGTGAAAACAGACATCTTTTAAAATGTAGCTCATTGTTGCCTGATGGCTGGTGGCTTTTCAGCACCACAGTCTTTGATATGAGCAAAAGGTAAGTGACTTCTTTTGGGCATAGACTATCATTCATTTTTTTAAGCAAGGTGAATTTGTTGCAGCCCCTAAGGATGAATTCTTTAATATTGTCGTAAGGATCATCTTCCCACGAGTAACTACCAGAATTGATCATGGAGTGGTCAAGGAGAGCAATAACATCTCAAGTCTTTTATTTCAGCTGGGACACTGGGCTCCTATGAGCATGAAAAGCAGCTGATTTCTGACAAAAATGTTATTGTACAACTTAATGGACTCCTTGGCAAAGTGTAAATGAAAAATTTACTTAAAATTTGGAGTACCCCTGGTAGATTTTATGCTCAAACCATCATTGAATGTAACTTAATTAGACAATAAAAAAGTTTTGACATCAGTTGATGGTGAAAATCCTTTAATATTACCTATCTTGTAATTAGTTTTTGTAAGGTGATAATCCCTTGTCTGTGGAACAATACAGTGATCTTGTTCTAATTGGATTCAGTGCAGTTCAAGCAGTCTGTGCACTACAGAGGGAACTAGAGAGCATGAAGCTGGAACTCCTTACTTCTGTCATGCATGGCTCTCTTCCCTTGACCAAATTTGAATCTATTTATATCAAGAAGCACTTGTGCTGAGCTGACTCATCGTTTAGGGAAGTGCCTCTCAGGGAATGCACTGGGCTGAGCTCTGGAAACCTGCAGGAGCCATCACTGGGAGCTGCTGCTTGGCTGGCTCCCGTTCCTAGTGTTTATCCATTATGTAATGCATGAATGTTTAGTGTAACATAACTATCTCTAAATTGGTGTTGAGTGGCACCTTTGAAAGCACCCAGGGGTGAAAGTAGTAAATAGTTGTTGATAGCTCTTTGTTCTAGCTTCCAGTGTTTGAATCATTACATCATGTGTCAGAAGGTCATCAATGCACCTCTTAGCGGCTCTGTGGAAATCACAGAGAAACTGTGGAAACTGGATATGATTTGTTGGTTCATGTGGGATTCACTGTGGAAATATCTTTACCAAGTGAGAGAATCTATATATATTTATTTGCAAAACTATATTTTAATACTTTTTATGACAAGGAATGAAAATTGCAAGAGCTAAGAGACTGGTTCTGTCTCAGAGTTGTTTACAGAGGAAGATGTGCTTTAGCTTCCTAGTTTTATAGTGGTCAGGTGACTTTCGTTGACCTCTGCTTATTTGTTTCTATATTACAGTCCTCAGAAGAGGAACAGCTCCTAACTTAGACTGCTGACAAAAATGTATATGCAGAAGCAAAAAAGAAACCTTAGTGGTGTCAAAATAGTATCCTGAGCTTTCGTATTTTTGTTACCTTTTACAGTGTAAAGGAAATGAAGATGGAGAGACTGTTGTTGTTGAAAAAGACCATTTTATGGATGACTTTTTCCAACAGGTAAGATTTTACATACCTTTCTGCTACACATGACTTAAAATTTTCTTTGTTTATTAATTTCTGTTATTTCTGTAAGGTTCTGTTTTAATAAATAGTGGAGGCTCTAGACTGTGATTTCCTGTGTGCCACGCAGCCCCCTCCTCAGTGTTTTCCTGGATTCTTTTCTATGGTGCATGAAAGTATGAATGTGGATTTTATTGTTTTGAATGTAAAGCTGTTTAAATGTCCACGGGGAGTGATTGCAGTCTGAAATTTGTCAGATATTTACTACTGTTGTGATGGAATACTTCAAGATTTTAAGTACCAAAGATGTATTACAAAGACCCAACAACTTGACATGTGATTGTTCTAATGCTTTCACTGACATATTTCTCTTCTTCTAGGTTGAGGAAATTAGAAATAACATAGCAAAAATAGCACAGAATGTGGAAGAAGTGAAAAAACAGCACAGCATTATCTTGTCAGCACCAAATCCTGAAGGGAGTGAGTATCACTTCTTCTAGATTTCAAGGATGTGTGACCAGATAGCTGAAATAAACAAATTTGATTTCAATCCGTCAGAGTAGAACTCAGCATTTGTTCTCAACACCTCGTAGTCCAAGGCATGCCTGTGCTTTAGGCAGGTTTTAGTGAGCTGGGAAGAAAAGATGCAGAGGTATTTTTGTGGAGTAGTTTTTTGTGGACCTGATTCTTATGTTATGAACTTCTGTTTTCAATTTTTTTTTCCTCCACATCTTCCTTATTTGTGCATGGATGTGTGTGTATTCTTCTGAGTGATTTCTGCTGATTGCTTTTTTTGCTTTAAGTCATAGAATCAATGATCGTCTGGTTAATGAAGCATTCGTCTGAATCCTTAAAATCCATGGTCCTTGCTAACTCATCTGGTAGAGCACAATTTTAAGCACAGATGCAGTAATGCATCTGTAGTGTGTAGGAACATGACATTGCTTGTGATGATATTGCTAGTCATAGGCAGTGTCTAAAGACTGCTTGAATGTTTTTTGAGAAGAAAACTTTCTGATATGTTATCAATCATCAATAGTTCTGGGCTTTTTTTTTAAGGAACAAAGGAGGAACTTGAAGAATTAAATGAGGAAATAAAGAAGATTGCTAATAAAATTCGAGCTAGGTTAAAAGGTAAGTTGTGGGGAGAAGTACTGCTGTCACTTGTAACACATTCAGGATGCTAGCAGTAGCAGTGTTACAGATGTAATGCATTGCAGCTGAATTTATAACCTTTAACTCTGTTCTGTTTCGGTATGTTGGCTGGTCCCCAAATCTTAAAAAAAAAGTAAGAAAATAATTAACTGTTTTAATCATTGAGCCCTGAATATAACGTTTCAGCTTTTTGCATGTGTTGATACAGATTTGGATCTTGCATGATTTTGAGTTCCATAACTCAACATATTTAATTACTGTTGGTATTGGAGGAGAGAACTGCAATGAACCATGACAAGGGCTTCTGTCTCCATATGTTTTATGTGCTTCTCTTTTTGAATACATACCATCAGGACCTTAATCTGTCTCTCTCACTGTTGTTGTGCTTCCTCCTCATTGCTTAATATCTTGCTCCATGATGTCAACATTATACTGGAACCCTGATAGTGTATTTTTGCAATACCTGTGTTTTCTTATTATTTAACCTTCTGAAAATAAAAAAATAAACTTCCTCATTCTTGCCAAGTGATGTGCAGCTTATGTCACTTACGTTATTCTCTACTTCATCCTTCCTTAACACGCTTCATAGCTGATAAATACCAGGTCTCAGCACAGCCTGCCTACTCAGGCAAAGAGCTTGTTTGCAAAAATAACCTAGAAAGTACAAAGTAATTTCTCTGTGTAAAAATTTATTTTGTGACTGAAATGTTGTTTTGGGAGTAGTTCAGCTGCAAAGAGGCAGACCGTGTGACAAATAAGAAACTGCTCTATAGCATCTTGTATTTGAAATTTCTTTAGGCCAAGTAATTTTATTGTGAGTTTCCCCATAGGTGTTCCTTTACCTCTTCAGCATAAGTTTTGAAGTATATTGATTCTTTGAATATTACTGGATTGCAATTACTGTATACTTTTGTTCTCTAAACAGTTAGATATGGTGTTTATCACTTAAAATGTAAAAACAACTATTTTGTTAGATGTTTTTGAGCTGTCCCCAGAGTAAGCAGATACTAGTGTGACTCTGCAAAAGGTATTGACATAATTACTGTTTTAAAAAAATAAGTTATTTAAAATAGATATAAATTTCACTTCCTTTCCCCCCTCCTCACCACCACCACATGCATACAGAAAATGTGCATGCAAGAAAAGTTAAGCGTGTTCATGTGGTGCTTGTATATGAAAAAAGTAAAAACGTGTAGTGTTTACAAAACAACTTTGAGCTGCACTGTGGAATTCATACTATCTCATGTACTGTATTTGCTCTGTTGATTCACACTATTTTTGTATTTTCTCTTAGCTATTGAACAAAGCTTTGATCAGGGTGAAAATGCGAATCGAACATCAGTGGATCTCAGAATAAGAAAAACTCAGGTATGATTACAACAAATTTAAAGAAAATGAAAGGATGATACTTAATCAGAGAATGTTTCACTTTCCTGTTTCAGAACTCCACGTTCTGTTTGATTGAAATTTCGATACCACTTTTGATTGTTGTACAGTCATATTTGCTCTATTAAGAAAGAAAATAAACCTTTTTGCACATTTTTAAATCCTGAAAAAAACAGCACTCTGTATTAGCTCACAAGTTTGTGGAGGTCATGACGGAATACAACGAGACCCAAACTCTTTTTCGAGAGCGCAGCAAAGGTCGGATACAGAGGCAATTAGAGATAAGTAAGTGACCTCAATATGCTTTTTTAAGATAAAATAAAAATAAATATTGTATTGTTATACCTCCCTTTTTTCTTATTACTTAAAGGTGGTACTGAAGACCATGCACCTTGGCTTCTTGAAGCATGTGAAAGGGAGAGGAAAAGAAACATTTCTGTTACAGAATATTAAATAAAAATCCTTTATTTCTTAAATTTTCAGTCTTGTAAAGGAAACATTTAGGTTGCATGCAAAAGCTGTGTTTTCAAGATAGTGAATGTATTCTATAGTGACTGTTATGAAAAGTCATTCAAAAACATGATAATCAGGAAGTCATCCTTCTTATGTTGTGCTGTTTACGTCAGTAAGAATCTGTTTTTTTGTTGTTTTTTTTTTTTTTTGAAAACTCATCTGCAGTAAAATCAGTAGTACTGTTAGACATACTGTAATCATCTGTTGAATGATTCACCCTCTTATTTCATTAGTGATAATTGTTGATTCCTAAAGGCCCCTAACTTGGATCTACAGCATCTATTTCAGAATATATCCAAAGCACCCATAACACCTTGTAGCTGAAGTTAGACTTGTGAATATTTCCCATAAAAGCAAATACATATTTAATGAAAAATGCAAACAGAAAAGTTAGCAAATTGTAAGACTTCACTTCTGCTTCTCCTTTCTTTTTCTTTAGACTTGCATACTGAGTATGATTTAATTTAGCATTTCAGTGTAATTTTTTCGGCAAATTAAATCCTTTGCTCATGTTCCTGAGGGAAGGGACCCTAATATCTCAGTGTCTTTTAAGTTAATGTCATAATGAACTAATTTGCTCCTTTAGCTTCAGCCCTAAAAATTTTAAGGGAGGATTTGCAGCATTCTTGGGTATTAATGTAATTAGCATTAAAACTGTAATTTTCATCTGTTAAGATGAAGTTGAACTAATACAAATCCGTAATCTTCCTATGTAAAAAGTTGAATAACTTGAATATGCGGTGTAACTCCAGACAGTTGCATCCATCTTACCACTGCAGTGGCTAACGAGCAGTAGTGAACAGCGTAAGTTGTTAGGTGAAATATGAAAACTGAAAATGAGGGTAGTCTCTAGATAGTGATCTTCTCTACATGGGATTTGAATGTAACCTTGGGTTAGCTGCTAGATTCTGCTTTCTGTGAAGATTCTATCCCTTGCCACAGTGGCTGGTGGGAGGGAGGAAGCAAATCAGGTGTCGGTGCAACTTGGTTGTGTAGGTAAATACTGAATCTTATGTAAATACTGAGTTCTTCCTTGTGCAGAACACCCAGCTGGATTCAAATGTATGTTGTAAACATTTCTGGTCAAATTCTTCAATTTGACCAAAAAAACATCAGGAATTCTTCACCCTACTTTTGAATCTAGTACATTTATCTGGCTACTACTTGATATTTTCTGATTTTTTAAATGTAAGGTAGTATGTAGGTCACTGCATAAAGTAATGCCTTTCATTTATTTCTGTGGAAACTACAACAGATACAAAGAGTGCAACAACACTATTTGATAGAGCAAATTCTCAGTTACAAAGCACTATTTTTCTGCATAGTTACCACTATTAGCTGTGCATTTTTTTTGCCAGCTTTGAACAGGAGCCTGAATGTAGCTCTTGTAAATATCTGCTCTAGTGGAGGTAACCCACTGTTGCCTCTGCTGAAACTCACCATACGCTACCTCTCTGTTCATCCATGAATGTCAGTGTGTGCAGTTCTTTCTGCACAGATGAATTCAGCGACACACCTTTGCTCCATTTGCATTCCCTGTCAGATGCCTTCTTGTCAGGCTGCCCCTCTGCTGTCATTTGTCATGTGGCAACAAGGCATAAATGAATATTGGCAAAAAGGTTCAGCTTCTCCTGCCACCAACATCTGCCTCTGACATCATGGGCCATAATATATAATAAATATATAATAATAAATATATATAATAAACAGGAAGCATTACTTTTGGATTGGCCCTGATACCCAGTAATGGCTAAGTATTGCTTTTTTTTAATCTTAAAAAATTGCAATACAAGAATTTTCTCTTGTTATCCTTCTGCAAAATTGTATTCGTTAATATGTGATGTTATATGAAGTACTGTTATATTTATTCTAGCTGGAAAGACCACCACAGATGAGGAACTGGAGGAAATGTTAGAGAGTGGTAATCCTTCAATTTTCACTTCTGACGTATGTATTTCTGGTCCAGTCACGTCAATAATCTGTTCTGTTTGTTCTGCTATTTAGAATTGTGTGTCAATGCTTAAGTGCTTATGTCTGTATCTTTTGTTCTACCAAAGATTATATCAGACTCCCAAATAACTAGGCAAGCTCTGAATGAAATTGAGTCACGGCACAAGGATATTATGAAACTGGAGTCCAGTATACGGGAGCTACACGAAATGTTTATGGACATGGCTATGTTTGTTGAGACTCAGGTAAATGAACCAATTAAAATACATTTACTGAAGTTAGATTTTTTTTTTTTGTCTTTGTCTTTAGAAATGTGTGGAAGTAATGCAGATCTGTTTCTTAGTGTTTTTGGGCCACAGTTAGAATACATGAAAGTTCATCACTAGGATTTGTGTTTTGTTTTGAACAAACGTACAGTTGAGATGTACTGATAGTGTGTGTTTTGGATAACTAAGCCTAGAATTTCTTTGAGTTTCTCACTGATATGCTGACTTGTAAGAATTAAACATAGCAAGGATTTTGCAACTTGCGTATAATACAAAGGCATGATTGTTACAATAAGCACAAGTATAAAGGGATCAGTTGAAAAGTAATTCTGTTTGTCCCTCATCCATGTTCTTTAACTTGAGGTGTGTGTAAACTTGTTACTTGCAATCTTTGTATACATATTAGCTAACTGTAGTATTTTGAACTTCTGTTCTTAGAGGTTTTTTATTTCTGCTTGAAAGTGAGAGGAATAATGCTCAGGAGAAAAACTTTTCTGAAGAGGACCTTTTCTAAATTGAGTTTTGTTTTTAAGTCCTGTGTTGCTTTAATATTAAATATATAGGCAGGGAAAACTGGTAGTAGTGTCCTAATGAGCTAGAACTAAACAAAAAATTACTTGCGCATCATTCTTTAATGCTTTGCTGTTTAATGCTGCTGATTTTTTTCTTCTGATGGACAGAAATGCAGGTAATAGATTTACTGTTACTTTTCACAATCCTTCATTTCATTTCTAAATTTCATTCATCATAATTAATTTGAATTTATGTGTTGATGTTGTAAACACTTAGATAACCATTAGACTTTGTATCAAAATAGTCAATCTCTCTCCCTGCTTTAAAGCACCATCAGGAATGTGTGACTTTTTGGTATGTCAGTTTTAGACTGGACATCTGAAAACATATCTTTGAATGCAAGGTATGTTTTACCAGTCAACAGAAATACACCTCCCTTGCCCATGAACATCACTTCTTTGCTTAGACCTTTGAGCCCTTGCTTCTCATTCCCTTTTTTCATTGCATATCAAAGCACAAAATGTGTCTGCCACTAATGTAAAATACTGTGATTAAATGATGTTGTTATCCTGTAGCCTTTTTTCTCAGATTCATGGAACAGGGATCCCTGGATGCCAGTAATAAACTTTTTTGTTCAACATTTAAGGGTGAAATGATCAACAACATAGAAAAGAATGTGATGAGTGCAACAGATTATGTGGAACATGCTAAAGAAGAGACAAAGAAAGCGGTTAAATATCAAAGTAAAGCACGAAGGGTATGTGGTCTTCTTGTGATTGTCCTAGTTAGCAAGTTAACATTGCGTGCTGTTAAGCAGCCTTCAATTTTAGTTGAACTTTTTTGTCTGATTCAGGTAGAATTAATGGATGTACTGTACTTATTTTAAATATTTGGTATTTAAAATTAGATAGAAAACATTGGGTTATAGGGCTTTTGTTATAAATCAGTACATGGCAGAGGGAGATTTACCAAAGGATTTTGCAAACCAAAACAAAAACAGTGTGTTGAGTTTGTTAGATAGCTTTAATACTAAAACTTGGTGTTACTAACAGAGAAAGGAACTTCCTTTTATTCTTATGCCTGTTTTATTAACTATAGTTAAACGCCAGAAGAATCCACTTGTGTACTTGTGAGCTGTGTTTTTTTTTTCCTTTTTGATCACTACATCAGAGTTAATCACAGTAACTTACATGTCAACATTGTTTAAAAATGTTTTTTTTCTTATACCAGAAGTTTAGAAAAAATTTTAGACAATTCAAGAATGTTGTGAGCTTTAAAAATGAATGAGGATCTGAAAACTGACTTTTAAAAATTGAAAATGAATACAAGTTTTAATGTGCATGATATTAAAATAATACCTTGTTTTTGACAGAAAATGTGGATTATTATCATTGTGTCATTGGTGTTGATCGTCGTAATTGGTCTAATTATTGGTTTGTCTGTTGGTATTCGGTGATGCTTGGGTAACTTCAGCATGCATGACTTCCTGCCAGTGTGGCAGTAAGTAACTAATCAACTACTGTTTTGTTCTGGTAACTTCTTTGGTGTACTAACTCTTAATATGCTTTCTGTTACTTTTGGAGAGGGGAGCAAACTTGACACTAGTTGGTGACTACTTCTCACTCTCTGCATGCTGTAAAAGTTCCATGCATGTAGATGCTGAAAACTGACATCTAGTGGTGAATTGCTAAATTTACAGATTGCAGTCGTACTCCTGATGATCTGTAAACACAAAATGAAATGAGGAGGGGAAAAAAAAAAACCCACAACTTATTGTCTCAGACCTTTGAATTTGTAATATATTTCAAGTTCACATCAACAGACTACATTAAGATACAGATTACAATTGGAACTTTGTCAGGTGTGGTCTTCTCCGGTTTTAAACAGAGCTTGCATTGAAGTAGGTGTCTGCAGCCATAAAGCTGGCTATTTTGTGTTGCAGAACATCCTAAAATGAAGCTCTTGTATTAATAGTAGACCAAATGAAACCAAATGCCAATGTATTTGTAAGAGAAAATCTGCAGAGATTCAAACCTGAATTTGAGGATGTAAATGAGAATTCTTTCAATCTTCGTACTCTTGCTATACTAATCTACTTCTTATCATAATAACATCTAGCCAGGCTAAGGAGATGGTAGTGATTAACTCAGAAGAGTCCAGCAGCTCAACTTTCTCCCTCTGGGGTCTTCAAAATGTTTATGAAGGACCATGGGGGAGTGTGTTCATTTCAGACTTAACACTAGTTTGGAGTTTCTTCTCACCTTTGGTTTATATGCAGATAACAGGCTTTACTGTACTGTTGCTGTCAGAACGACATGATCTAACGTCACACCTCTATGCATATTCATACAACCTGTTAATTTTTGTGCAGCGCTTCTGAGCTGCTAACTATACAGTATTCTTAGTGATGGTTTGTTCAGTTCCCCTGTGTGCAACTGCAAAAGTTTGAACAGGCTACAAATATTTATCCAAGGTGGGCAGCTCTAGGCAGTGTTAGTATATTTGACTTTGATGAGTAGCTGTTTGTTGTTGTGGTTGTTATTATATGTAATACTTACGGAAGTTGCATATGGGTAATAATTATTCTCAAAATAAAAATACAAAATTCTTACACTCCTTAGCTACTAACTGTGATTGTGTGTTAGAAAAGAATGACTGACAACAGGAAATCGTGGCAGTAAGTTTTATTCAAAAAGAAAATTTAAGCTTGAAATAGATACCGGTGTTATCAATTTGCTGTGGGTATGCAGGTATTTAAGTAGTTCTGTATCTGACAGGATGCTTCAATCTAAACTTCTTTTTTTTTTTTTTTTTTTTTTTTCCAGAAATTGATATTCATAATTATATGTGTAACTGTACTACTTCTGATACTTGGAATTATCCTAGCAACAACACTATCATAGCAAGCGTATTCTAAAAGCTACACGCTTCCAGAAGCTCCAAAAGATATCTTCAGTAAAACCAAACCTTTTTTGATAGAAGATGCCTTACACAGATATGTGATGATGACCTATCATTAATGGCTAAAATGAAAACAGTCACTCCTAATGTTTACTTATAAATGAAGATTGGAATGTACCAGGTTATGTATATTTTTGTCATAAACTATACATTTACAGTAAGACTGAAACTTGCTTTTAATCGTTTTGAACTAAAGCAACTTGGATGCTTTCATATTTCAGTGTTACAAACAGTTTCAATAGGGAGTTAAGATACTTGAGTTTTGACTGTTTGAATTTTTTTATTCCTATTGCCACTATAATTCTAATCACAATTTTTATAACCTTGCCCATGCTGCTTCTAAGTTAGTACTTCTGTGAACATATTTTTAACTGTAGCTATGCCTCTAAATATATTTATTCATCTTAACCTGTCTAAGCTTATTACTTAAAGGTTATTTCTGGCAAGTGAGAAAATATTTTATCCTGAAAAGACCACTTTAGATATTTACTGGTCTGCCTCCTACATTACACTTCGAAAAGCAAAGATTTAAAAACTTAGCAGTTTTTTTTCTAAACGACTATGGCTTATTGCGTTAAATATTTCCTTGTCTTTATATTAATGTTTTCTGGTAGAAGTAATACAGAAACAAAGCACACAATTTGATCTTCATCAGGTAATTTTACAAATGGTCTTTGTGCAAAATAACAGTTCAGCCTCATTGCTTGCAGGAATGATAGAAATCATACTTGCTTCAATAAAGCCAAGTCAAGATTTGATTTTCAGAAGCTTGCTAATGTTGTGGTGTGAATAGAGCAGACAGGAAGAATAAACACTCAGAAAACTTAAAAACATAATATAAACTAAGACACTGATTTGTTACAAAATGTATGTACTATGTAACATATATGAAGTGTTTTAGTGTATATGCCTCTGTGTTGTAATACTAGCTTGCAATACTTGAAAGCATGAAAGACTTCAAATGTAACCAAATAACTGCATTTAATGTTAAAGGTTATTTTTGTATTTTGCGTGTAAAATATTTGTAACTTGAATTTTTGATTTCTCATTGTTTAGGATACCCATGTAGATATGTAGATATATTTACATTGTATGAGGAAATTATAACATGTGACTTTTAAACGCGATTTGAAACAGTGCTTGTCAATGTTTCCAGATATTAAACTATAACATTATTTGCAATAACTCAGATTAGAATCCTTGAACTGAAGTTTTATGGGAAGTGTCTGAGATCAGTTATTCGCTAAAATGTAATGCAGTCTTTTTGTACTTCGTAAAATTCAACCAAGTTTACAATATATATGTATGAATATCCCTGCTTTGTCCGATTATACTGTGAATATGCTGGAGCTATTCAGATGTCAAACATTAAAAACTTAAAAAATTCTCTTTTGCAAGCCAGCCATAAAGAAATTGAAGAAATTAACTTCATTAATGAACTTTTTTTTTTTTTACCTTGACATCCAGAACACTCACCAATGATTGTGGGGAAGTTTACGTGCAAAGTAAGGAAAGATTGCTTGCGTGTTTTATCATTCTAGGTAATATATTTTCAATTCTATGGTTTTCTAGATTTTTAAAAATATTAATTATTTATACATAGTACATTGGGAAGGGAGATCAATTCCATTCAACAGCTGGTTGTCTAAAATAGTGCCCCTAATCCAGTCATGTCAATTCTTTCTTTTTTAATTAATGATGCAGTACTCTGCCCACTAAGAACAGAAATTAGAATGTAGCACTCCATGCCTTTTTATTTTCTTTTGTTATATAGCTGCCTCTGTTTTAAAACAAAACTTGTTTTTCACATAAACCTCTTCATTCTGTTAATATTGTGGAGAACATCTCTAGCCTATGCACGAATAAATTTATCTAAGCAAGTATCTTGTGGCTATTTTTATATTCATGATGTTATTGTGACCTTTGTGAATATTTCCAGTAAGTGTTTGAATAAGGCTGGTGTGCTTTTGCATACCAGCACACACATCAAACAACTGCTGTGTCTTATTCATTTACAGTATTCTCATGTAGCTTGATTAAATATTAAACCTGAAAAATAGAGTAATCGTATAAAGGTACTCGTGTATTTTCAAAAAGATCCTTATAGAAGTGCATCTTCACTGTACTGAATTGAAATGATGACCTTGCTTGCCTACCCTAGCTTCTCAGTTAGTGTAATGTTAGTGTAATAATGTTAGTGTAGTAGTAGTGTAATGTTAGTTAGTAGTAGTGTAGTGTAGTTAGTGTAATAATGGAAACATTGGAATAGGTTCAGAGGAGGTGTACAAGTGTGCTGGTTATCCACCAGTATCTTTTCAGTCACAGTCTGAAACTGCTTGTCAGTGTTTCCATATATTTAAAATTTGGATTGCAGATTACCACTCTAATAGCTTTTTGCTGACAGGGCATTGAATGGAGTTATCTGAGAGGTGATGTATACCCATTCTTTCTCCTCCAGCTGTGTGCAGTACTACTACCTCTCACCTGCCTGCTTGTCTCCAGCAGCAGTGTTGAGCAGGACCGAGCAGCCTGCTTGGAGCTGACAGCTGCAGCCATGGCTTGGGAGGAACAGCTGCCACCTGCACTGGGGCTCGTCTTCCAGTGCCTTTTCAAACTCCTACTTGCATGTGTCACGTACTGAGGTGGGAGCCTTTCTATGGTCAGTGCCATGGCAAAAGCAATACAATCCTCAGTGTAATATTCTTTGAGAGGACAGAGTGGTTGTGCTCATTTTGTGGCTTGGGAGCTTTTCCAGAGAATTTTTAAGAAAGCGTGCCTATGGCTTCATTAATTTAATTTGATACAATGCAGTCTTCACATAGAAGTAAATTTTCTTAGCTTCTTTAGCAACCTAACACCAGTGGAGATGTGCATTGGGAGTAAATACCCAAGTACTTAGGCATTGGGAATTGATGAATTTGTCTGACTGTAAGATAACTGAGCAGGTATATTTGATTTAGGTGGGAAAAAAAGCCACAAATACAGAAAGAAACAGCGAGCTGAGCTTAGAATATGTTGTAAGAGAGAGCCTTCAGTGTTGTTTTTCTTTTTTTCCTATTTCAAATTTAACCCAATGTTAAATTGATTTGATACATTCATATGGCTTGATAAGTGACTACAAATAACCAGGCGTGCTTCTGACTGCAGTCAGTGGGTCAGCCTTTGCACCTGTGAATCTGCTCAGTCTCTTCTGTCACGTACAGTAGCTGTCTCAGTTGCACAGTGTCACTATTTTAGTTACCTCTGTCTAACATGTGAAGTCCTTCCAGACGCACAGTGGTGGTTGTGCAGCATTTACAAATCAGCTTTTTGGAATAAAAAGGCTATTTTATAAGCACTTATAACTAGGTTTTGGCGAACAAAAGTACTTCTCAAAGATTTTTTTTTTACCAAGGGGAACATAGAAATGGTAAGTACAACATAATTGTTTGCATATTCTAAAGAATGTTTTGATTGCATTTCTTGGCTGCTTTTGAATCCAATCTTTTTCTTTCATTTCTGTAAGTAGGGGAGGAAAGGAGCATTTTGATGTCCATTAGTAAACAATTCTTAGAAATTGCTAAGTTATGATATGAGTAACTAACAGTATGTAGCAGACTGTGGACTGGGAGGAAAGCAAGAGTTATGCATAAGAAAACAAACTATATTTACTATATACAGCCTTCAGAGAGAACTTGAGAGTATATTGGCTCAGCCCATGCTGGCTCCAGTAAACTGAGCCGGACCACTTTAAACTAACAGCGGGCAGCTCAATTTAGAGAATATGTCAGAATGGAGGTGGATCAGAAGAGGTGCCATTTATATAACAGCTCGTTTTACAGTCCTCACATGTAATTTCACAGGCAGCTTCGATGCATACTTGTTGAGGTAACTTAGTCTTACTGTACAGAGCTGTTGACTTTTTGTAGTTAAAAGGAGTTGAATTACATTGTTCTAATTGAAATCTGATTATATGTTTAATTTCAAACTACAGTCATCAGAATATACTTTAAATAAGGCTATTAAGTTCAACACTGATATGTTAGCATTTGCTACAGCAGTGCAGTAGTATCTTATTAAGTGGTGATAGTTTAATAAAGGAAAACAAGTCAACATTTACCAGCCTTCTGTTGTAATGGACTCTTACAGGCTTACTGTTAATCCCCAGATACTCCATCATGTGGAAAATGCCTATAAATGCTGACCTTGCAGTAACACAGTAGGTAGTACAATGAAGAATGCTTCCTTGGATTTAAGTATTTTGAGTATGCATAACTGAATGTATACTGAGTAAGATCCCTTTCCTCTGTACTGTTCACTTTTTTTAATGAGCACTGATTAGGGTTTGGAAGCTAACGTCTGGGAGGCATTTTCATTTCATTCTAGCCTTTTCGATGGTGAAAATTTTTTAGTAGCACATATTGAATAAAAATCTGAATTTTGCAGTAATAAAATATATTTTATGTCTATTACTGCAACCTTTACGTACTGTAGGACTGTATTGGCATATATCATCAGTCCAGTCATGCATATTTATCTAATATTAGCTCTCTAGCTTCTGCAAAACTCATCTCTGTTCCCTCTGTAGGTTTTTACTCTGATTGGTTTTTACTGATTTCTCAAAATTTAAGTAATAATCTTAAAAATTAATTCTCTTATTGCTGATTTTTCTGCTATGTTCTTTTCTGTCCAAAGGATTGAATGATTACTAACTTACTCTGCAGGCGTTTTGTTCTTGCTACTTTTTTTAATGGACTTCTGGCAGAGGCCTTTTAAAATACTGGGACTCTTAGCAGCAGCCTTCTGCAGTGCAGCACACCTATTTGGGACCTGATCAGTGAAATATTTGCCATTTCTTCATGGTGTTATTTTAATTACTGGCAGTACTCGCAGAAAAAGAGTTGAAAAAGAGATACTCTTCAAAATGCAGACTTTCTTAGCTTTTGAACCATCTCACTGCAGGTCTTAAAGTTTCTTCCAGTTTCTTCTCTTGGTCTTCTGCTTTCCTTCTGTTGATGCCATTGCTTTTAGAGACATTGTCTATTCTAATAATGAATCTACATCATGGTATGTGTAGTGAAGAAAAGCAATGGTATGCATGCCTAGTAAACAAGGGCGATTACTGGTGACAGAGACTAATCTTAGTTTTATCCACATGGCTGCCAGCCATCTTAAAAGTGTAAATATAGCTGATAGGAAACTGATCTAACTGCATCAGAAAGCAACTGAGGAGAAAAAATACATAGATTAAAAAATCAAACAGCTTTTAACCTTCTGAAAAGTTGTGGGGGAAAAAAAATCAAAACATTCTGGTTCTAAGTTCATGCAGATTTAAATACTGCATTTGCAGCTCGCATCCTTTTGATTTTCCCTTTTGGCAGTTTGTTCACATTAGAGTCAGTGGATGGAATCTCAGAGGAGAATAAAAGCCAGTGTTTTGAAAACTAATGAAGTAATTATCCAAAGCATTATTTACAATGATTACTTAGAAGATAATGAGACCCTTTAATTATGTTTGTTCTGCATAGCTAGCCTTTCAATAATTCAGAGTACTACTGTTCAATTTCCTCTATATTCACTTTGCACATTTTTATTTGGAAAACTGTCACAGCTGTTTGTTATGTGTGAGTATGGGCCCTCATTCTGAATGTTGTTTGTCACACAAGAATCACCTGCTCACTTCAGTTGGAGTAGGAAGCTTTTTTAAGTTCAGGCTTCTCTGACTTTTCAGTACAGTGTGGAACGAAATTGTGGGTGAAACAAAGCTGTGCTGTAGCTTAAAAGTAGCACTACTGTACAGTAACGTGTTAATCCAGTAAGTGAAGTTTGTGCTTGGTAAAGTTTGAGTTTGGTTTCATTTTGGGAATCATGTTGATTTTGTTTGAAGCGTAAGTTTGTTTTTAAATAGCCTTGCTCACTTGTCTATTAAAAAAAAATTCAGATCATTAGTATTTTAGCAGGTAATAAATATTTCACTAATATATTCATAAGCAGCAGTGAACTTGCTGCTAAAATAGACAATTCTGCTGAAGCACGAGCCTGAATGCTACGGTCCCCAAGGAGATCTGTCTTTTGTCACAGGCTTTATCTTGGTACACCAATGAAGCACAGGCTCGCTATGTGCAGTGATGCTACTCCAGATTAGTAGGGCTGATGATGTAGTCACTGATGCCTAGAAATCAATAAGAAGAATGTTAATCTCAGAGAGGCTCCAAAAGCTTGGAGTTTGTCTGCTGGCAGTTAATTCAGACTCAAATTGACTCCTGTTGGAATCTTTCCTTCAACTTGGAGAGATGCTGCAAAGGGCAACGGATCTTATACTTACCTCTGATTACTTGGAGGCAGATATGCAGCCTAAGCAGAAGTATATTTTAATTAAACTGGAGTATATTATAAATACAGAAGAACAGAACCATGGTAGAGTAAGGTAGAAGTTAAAATCTCAAAGAGCTTATTAAGCAATATAGTTCTGTTTCACTTGGTCACTGTGAAATTAAATTTAAAAACAATGCATTCAAGTGGTGATTACATTTACATTACAATTACACTGTGGCCATTAGCCATTACTCAAATATAAGAGGATATGTGTCTCAGTGGCTAGTACAGAAAGTACTAGTTTCAAAGGTAAAAAACACTGTGACTACTCATTTGCAATAAAACTTTTCAGAGGAAAATGGGAATCTTTTGAGTTCCACTTATTTATCCCGTGTTATTTGGGTTATCTTTTGTTATTTGGGTTATCTTTTGAGAAGTCCAACTGGGAAAAATGGGAAGACACTTCTTTCCAGGAGTGTCAGAATGTTGACCCAGCCTCCCTAGACCTTGGATTAAAGACACAAGGTGGGCCATGAATGTTTTGGAAGGAAGAGAACAAAGGTGTTGAGAAAGGAGAAATATTTGAGTAGTATGTCTGTTGCCTTGAAGTTGTAACTAGTGAAATGATGCTGTCTGACTTTATTAAGTCAGAAGGTCTGTATGCCAATTTAAGCTTCTCTCTAGGGAGTTGAAATGCTCTCAAGCCACTTTTCACCCTCTATTACAGAAGAAAGCTATCAGTCACATTCTGGATCATGGCTGTTCTGTACTGGATTCCCCCAAGGCAAATCAATCATTTCCAAAGGCAGCTAAGTCCTTGATTAAAGATCAAGAGGAAGACAAAGTAGTGAGTAACCTTTTCCAATCTAGGATATGTCAGAACTTGTTTGAAGACTTGCCTGGTGTTTCTCATTGGTTTGTTTTTTTTATTATTATTTTATTTTATTTGCTTTTTTGTGGTGTGATAAGTAAATGTCTAAAATAAGCATTTTTTTTTTTAATCTAGACATTCAGAGTTATATAAGAGCAATATAAAACCTTGTTACTAAAAGCTTTCTGCTATAGGATTAGTATGCGAACTAATTAAAACAAGAACCTGCTGCTTGGCACATAGTTTAGAAAGGAGAGATCAGAAAGCATCGTGTTTGTGAGCCATAACGTTATAACAGTTGCAAACCTCATTTGGCTACAAAGGTGGGCTATTCTGGATATACTGTGCCTGAAATCACACACTCATTCTATGAAAGAAGAGTTGCTCTAGAGAGTGTGAAACTTCTGACAGAAGGCGCGCTCTTGATGTCCCTGAAGTGAGACACAAATCATGTTTAAAGCTGAAGCTCACAGGCCCAGGAGGTTGTCACTGCCCTGTCAATCTGTCCCTCTTTCTTTCATCTCTGCTGAGGACGTGCTTTTTATCTCCACAACAAATAATTAAGGATTCTAGTTTAGATGTGCTTCTCTCTGACTCCTGGGTGTTTGCCGATGGTCATCGCAGAATGGTTTCCACACAATGCCTTGTGGACCTATATTCAACTGTTACCCAATTTGTATATCCTTGTGGCCTTATTACTGTCCCTCGTCAATAGATTCTTAGGCATTTTTGTTAGAATAATTGTAGATCTTTTTCACGTTCCCCACATTAAAAAGCTTCTTCTTCCTAAACTGCCTACGAAGTGGCACATCCATTTTAAAATAAATTAATTTGCATGTGTAGAAGAGTACATTTAAGTTACACCTACAATATAAAGCTTTTTTTTAACCTACAGATACTGCTCACAAGACTATTAAAAAAAAAAAAAAAATCACCTAGAATTTGATTCAGAACTGTTATAATGACTGTAGCAGGTTCCCAGAAAGGACTTTGAAGTTATTTAGTAGCAGAATGTATGATCTGCATTTCTGAAATGGTTGGATAGTTGACAGCCTACGTATGAATTTCGGAGGCTAATTTTAGGTTACAGTAATCTTGCCCTGCCTGAGAACTTGATCCCAGATGGTCAGGTCACCCACTGCCAGGACAAGTAGGGAGAATGGCCCTGATGCTCTGGGTCTGTGCAGAACATGACGGCTGGGCGTGTTTGTGTTCACTTGGTGCTGGAGGTGTTCAGGAGGCTTTTGTTAGTCATTCAGTTTTCCGCTACAGCATTCGGTGATTTTCCTTGCGACATGAGGAAAATAAAAAGGTGGAGCAAATTAGGGAAAAAAAAAGAAAAAAAAAAAACAACAGATAAAATCACAGGTAGATAAAATTCAAGTGTTGAAATGTACTTTTAATTACAGCTGATATGTGTGGGATTTTTGTTTGTTATTTATTCCTAAGAAATAGCAGACATTATTGTGAACTTCAAGTGAGTTTGAAGAAAATAAAGGCAAAGCCCCATTGCTGCCCTGTAATCCATCTGGATTTACAATCTTTGTACAGCAGAGTTGGGTTTTGCTGACAGGTTGGCTCTCTACATTCTTCTCTTTTAAGGTGGTTCACTGCTATAAGCAAGCATTGTGCTATGAACAATGACTCACAGTCTTGTAGGCCAGGATGCTTTTCTTGCTTTTTCCACTAAGCATTTTTTATATCCTACACAGATATAAAAATAAGCGTTCTTGTTGACTGTCCTATCATCTGGTATTGGGAAAGTAAATCTGAAATTATTTTGATTGCATTAAAATACATTTTTTTTGTGATTAAAGAACTGGTCTGTTGCCACCTACAATAAACTTTTAAGTCCTGTGCTTACACGTTGATGTGTATAACACTGCTACTCAATATAGTAACACGCAAAAGGAAAACAACTGACTTGTGTAGAATAGTGGTTATTTAAGAAAATAGAAATGTGCATGATGTTCTTATTTAAATGAATGATTTATTGCAGTTTGAGAGAAAGCCAACAGCTTTGTGAGGTTTCGGGGAACCTACTGGTTTGGAAATTGGAACTTGGATTGGAAAATGGTTTTCATTTTTCTTTCCCTACTCTTGGGAGGTGAAATAAGCTACAGGAAGAAAAAGGGGTAAAGAAGTTGTGAGCGAGGCCAGGAAGTAGCAGATCCCTTTGAGGAAACCTTCATTTTGTTTCTCCTAGTGGCAGTAGTACATGGTGCCAGTGCCAACCCTGCTGCTGTGCAGATTGCTCCCATTAGCACCGGCATTACCTCCCTTCCTCTCACCATTGCTGCCACAATGAGCTGTGCCAGCTCTGGCCCCAGCCAAGACCTTGTTCAGCTTTATTTCTCTTTGAATCTGGTTTTATTATACAGCAATCTAGTAGAGAAAAGGTATTCATACTTGTCTGCAGTGCCTACATGGATGATGTAAATGGTCAAATTCAGTGTCCAGCAGTAACTTTCTGAAAAAGTTTTTCTAAAAAAATTGTTTAATTCTCATCTAAATGTTTTTATGTGCAGTAACTTCCCCTGTATACAGTTCTGTGCTCTCATGTCTCAAATATGTTTCCAGTTATTCTATATATTTGCTACCTTTTCTGTTTCTGTGTCATTTGAAATGATGTTTCCTACTGGCAAAATGTCAGGTAAATGAAAGAGAGTAAGAGAGGAGGGAATGGTGCATTAATGGTTCAAAAAGGACTTCTGGATTCCTCCCAATTGTCCTGGGCTATAACTAGCAGAAATCATCAAAGCTAAAACTGTGACAGATGGTTTGTGCTTGTAGTATGAGTGGTTCTAATGACCGCTTTTGCTTCACAATGAGTGACTGCAGAACAGCTACTAGAAGGCTTCTTTTCAATCTCAAGCAGCTGACTGCTTTATTAGAAACAATTCACTTTTCCTTTATATTTGGGTTGTTTTGCTGCTTTTTCCTCCTACTGTTTTATGGCAGAAGTTAGAGCGTTTTGAGAGCTGGCTAGAGAAGAGAATTGACTCAAAACTTCCTCTTCTGCAGAGCCTCTTGTTTGCTCCTATAAGGTCCAATGTTTCCCAAACATGAAATTCACTCCCCAAATGGTACAAAACGCCAAGTCATGATGATGAAATAGAGACAACCTGACTCATGATTAGAGAGAAAGGATGACAATATGGGTAGTGGTGTTAGGGAAAACAGATGACTTTAGTTTACTCTTTGGGAGTGGTCTAGATTATCCTAGATTATTATGTTGTGCAAAGTAAAATACCACCTGCTTCACTGGTGCTTGTAAGACAGCATGCAGTGTGTGATAACAGGAACCTCCATTATGAAATTTCCTTTAAAAATCTATGAGCACAGGAAAGAGGAATCAATCTTCCTGAAAGAAGGAATCCTGACCTGCAATACGGTGTGAGGCCATTTCCCTGGCTCCTTGATGTTGTTTAGGTTTCCCAGGTCTATGGTGCAACACTTGCTCATATTGAATGTAGCACACTGTAAAGTTCATGTGATTTCAGCAATATCTTGTAATTTACAAAAGCAATACACACTAATCTCTCTAGTATACTTCAAATAACAATGAATAATAGGGCATATTTACTCTGTACCCTGTCTTTCTATATTGGGTAACAGCAGAAAGAACAAACATTCTACATTCTTTGTGCTTCTTTATCCCATTTAATTCCAGGGATGCAGCAGAAAATGCACTTCTTTGCTAGAGTAATCTGATGAAGTAATACAACTTACTGTTTAAATGCTGCTACTTGCAACCCCGCTCTTTGACCCACCTTCTGCAGAAACCTAACATGAGGTTCTTCCTAGAATTGACAGACAAAATACCTCGCAAGGAGCAAAACGCTTCCACTAATGTTTCTTATAATCTGGTTTGCAGTGGTACCTAGTCTCCCACTTCGTAGCATTAGCACTATTGACACCATGCTGAGCACTGCACAGACCCAGAACTGGTGTCTGGGCTCTGCCACAAATGTATGCATCCACAGCCAATGTGTGAAGGGCACATCTCATTTGTCCCATCAGCCTTCTTCAGCTTCAAGGCTGTACTTTGAATCCGGTGCTTTACTATGCAAGAGCAAATTTATGTAATACCAGCCAACTCACTGAAGTATTTTAGATGTGTTGCAATGTGTTTTAATAAGATATTGACACGTTACATTCTGCAGTCCAAAAAGGGCAACAAGAAAGCAAAACAGACACCTGAAAAGCTCCCACACTTCAGAGCCGAGGACAGAAGCAGACGGAAAGGAAGCTCAGTAACTCCTAAGAAGAGCAAGGTAAGGAGCTGTTACATGTTTCAAGTGCCCTCGCTGCCGATTGCTCAAGCAGCTCTCAAGGCATTGGCCTGAATCAGAGGCAAACCAATTTTGCTTCCATGCTATGAGTATTCTGGTTTAATAGTCCAGCTGCTGTGCCATCTGCAGTTTTACATGAAGGAAACAGAAGATATTCTCGAGATGCCCTTCCAGCTGAGGCAGTGCCCCATTTCCCCCCCCAGGAAGGCTTGCCCAGCCATGCTGTTATCAGTGGTAGGGAGATTCATCCAATGCTTGTTCCTCCTCATGTTTTCCGTATGCTAATGGATCTCTCCAGAGCTCTCAGTGCTTCTCCCTTCAGCAAATACAAACACGTTAAAATTGCTTTAAAAAAAAAAAAAAATCAATGAACATTTAAGTGTTTGCATCTCTCGGACTTTATACTGTACCATTTACTCAACAGCTTTATGCTTGACTTTCCCGTTAACTACTCGTGCAAATGGAACAGGTCTAACACATCACAGCTGAATTCACTCTTTCTCCCTCTTCACGCTCACCACAAAACAAACGGTTTCAGAGCGCCGCGTGCAGCGGGGCCGGGCGCCTCGGACACGTGAAGCGGTGGCGCGAGAGCAACGGCCGCCACGTGCACGGGAAAGGGCGGGCAGCGGCCGTGCAGCGCCGCGATGAGCAAAAAGGGCGGGCAGCAGCCGTGCAGCGCCGCGCTGTAGCGCGTTCTTCCTGAAGGGGGAAGTAGAGGAGTTGGGAAGGAGGGGTGAAGCGGCTGAAAAGGGAGGGGGGCGAGTAGGTGGTCTTTTAATTTAGGTCTGTGTTTCTCACCATCCAGACCTATTTTAGGTGCAGATACTTAGATTTCTTGTTCCCTACCCTGCTCTGCTTTGCCAGTGGCAATAGCTGCTCAGCCAGCCTTTGTCCCAGCCCGGTGCTGTTGAGGAATGCAGGCACGGTCACCCTGCACAGCAGCAGGATCATCTGTGTATAAGTCTCTATAACTTATCGTTTAGGATGGTTAACATCAGAGAATTTTTGTTTTTTCCTTTTAAAATTTAAATATGGCATCGCGCTGCTTGTGGGAATGTGAACTGTGCGTTAGAGCTCATGGGAGGGGTTTGGGCAGGTGTGGGCCGACCCTCGATGCTGCTGAGCTGAGGTGATGTTCGGGAAGGTATAAATGTAAATAGTATTAAAAAAATAATAATATTATTAAAAAAAAAAAGCTGTTGACTGTGGGTGCAGCTCAGGAGGGTTCACATAACGCTGTGTGTTTGGCAAAGCTGTGCTCAGAGTGCCCACGTGGAGAAAGTAACCCAAAATAAACTTCCCACCCTCTTTTTTTTTTTTCTTTTTTTTTTCTCTTCCACACTTCCAATACAGAAAAATAAAAAAAAAGGCCTGGAGAGATGAATAATGCAGCAGCAGAGAGAGCTGTTCTTTGGTCATGCAGCTCTGACAGATCTCAGCAAGAGAAAAAGTGGCAAAATGTTTGTAGGGAAAATAAGAAAGCACTGCATAGACTGTGGGGTTTACATATCACAGAACTAACTGAGAATTGAGTTGTTTTCTCTGGCATTAGGTGTGAATGACGAGCAAAATGTGAGGTGATAATGGAAGGGTTGTTTAACACTGCTGTAACTGAAGCCCTACAAGGCTTTAGATGGTGAGGTCAGTTTTCAGCCACGTTAACATTCATTGCAGTGTATGACACGAATTGGGGTAAATTATTATTTCTATGTTAAAGCTGCACCAAGCTCGACTTAAAGGTAGACTGCATTGAGAAATCAGCAATTTCATCAGATGATGCAGTGGTTGAAAGTGTCAGGGTGAGAGTGGAATGGATATGCTTATAAGCATGTCATAAGATGTTAGCATTTTTTGACTTCTGGCTTAGACTGAGCTTAACTGTAAAATGAAGGAGCTTTATATGTAGCTGCTGTTGTATGCCAGTTGACAAGTGCATAGAACTAGTTGCAGGTCACTACATTTTTGCAAGGGTTTACCCTGATAACAGGTTTTGAGAAGGGTAGCTATATGTTACCAAAAAAAAAAGAAAGGCATTTGAGTAGTTTGATGGACATACCAAGACAGTCTTATTTCCTGTGTGTTGCCTAACAGGTGGCTCCCTTCCCTGACTGAAGGGTTTGCAGCATGGTTGAATGTGCCTTTGGAATACAGCATCTCAGGCATATCTAGAGCACGGCTTCTAAGTGAGGCACGTGTCCAAGGCATCTGCAAGCATAACTCAACTTGTTATGTGATGAAGCACTAAGTAAGCAACCAGAAATGGTGGTTAAACAGCAGTCCTGTGTTGCTTTCAAAGTGGTAAATACATTGATATCTGTATAATCAAAGTGGTTGTGGCTCGCTACCATTCACTGAATGAAAAAAAAAGCATGAAAGATTTTTTCTGCTTTTCACTTCTCTGAGTTGATTGGTTGAGATTGTTTCTTGCTCATTGACTGTATCAGTGAAAGATCTTAAAAAGAGAATTTTCAAATAATGCACTTATGATATGATTTGTGAAAAATTTGAATTACTCTCCTCCCCCAGACACAGTTTTAGCAAAAATGACATAAAAATGTGTTTTCTCTTTACTAGGATGTCAGCCCTTCAACTTCATTGATGTCGCCATCCAATAACTCTGCTGTCATCACAAAAACTATTACCAGAGCTTTTCCTTTAAAGCAGAAAATGCACTTAGTCAATGGTAAGGCCCATCATCTGCAAAATATCAACAAACAGTCAAAAAGCATAAAAGATCTGGAGATCCAAGTGCTGCAGATGGAGTGCGAAGAACTCAGAAATCGGCTAGGATGCTTAAGGGTAGGTTAAAATCCAGTTCTGTTCTTAATACATAACTATGCCAGTAAACAGTTAAATCAGGTCATGGAAAGGTTATGGTTGAAGGAGACTCTGGACATTGTCTGGTCCCATTGCCCTGCTGAGGCAGAACTCCTTAAAGCAGATAGCCCATATGAAGGCAGCTTTTGAAGATTTCCCAGGAGGAGATTCCAAAACCTTCTGGGCAACCTGTGCCAGTGCTCTGTTACCCACAGATTGAAGAACTGTGTCCTGATGTTTAGACAGAATGAGTGTGCTCCAGTTTGTGTCTGTTGCCTCTTCTGGCTCTGGCACCACTGACAAGAGCCTGGGTCTGTCATCACTGCATCCTCCCCTCAGGTATTGATGAGATCCCCTGAGCCTCTACTTTTCCAGGCTGACCAATCCCAGCTCTCTTAGCCTCTCCTCTTAGGAGACGTGCTCCAGTCCCTCTATCAGTTTGATGGCCCAACATGTGACTCTTCCCAGTATATCCGTGTCTGTCTTGTACTGGGGGGCACAGAACTAGGCACAGTACTCCATGTGCAGCCTCACCAGTGCTGGGTGGAAGGGGAAGGATCACTTCCCTTAACGCATTGGCCATACTTTGCCTAATGCAGCAAAGAGATTGTTAGTCTTCATAGAAGCAAGGGTGTTCTGATACTATGTAGTTACCAAACTGTTAATTACTGTATTAGTAACAAACTCTTCTCAGCATTATCTTGTACTCATTTAATGTTACCTATCAGCTGCATCTTACAGCCTTCTTTTACAGCAGCACATCATATAAGAGAACATCCAGTTCCAAAATGTTTGAATTGTGCAAGTTGTCCTGCCTCAACCTGAGCTATTACTACTGGTCTTGATTAATAGGCAGAGGAGCTTAACTGCTAAGCATGAAGGAGTAGGGCAAAGTGGAGGATGCTGCTGATGCTATGGAAGAGAAATCCCAATCTTCTGGTGGCAGAAGATTATTAAGAAAGTCAAATGCATAAATACATTGCTAGAGCAAATATTGTTCTCTCAGAAATTTGGCTAAGAGAAGTTCTATTACTATCGCCACGTATTTGAGAAAACAGAAATTGAAATATTTGTCATTCAGGAAGGCCTGATGGGGCAGAAGCTGAGCAACACAGAAGAGCTACTAAAACAATCTCAGAAAGAGCTGTTGTGGCTTCAGAGACAATTATCACTTATCTCCACAGGAAGCCCCACGTGTGTTTTGGCAGCTAGCAAGGTGAGTGCTGTTAACAATTTTTTCAATTCTAACTCCCATTTTACACTGAAGTAGGGAGGGGAGGATTCATCATAATTTTGTCTGGTTTTATTGAAACAATGCACTGCTATTCTAAAACTGGTAAGAGAAAGGTAGGCCTTCTGAGTTGTATTTTAAGTAATTGTTGTATGTAATTTGTAGGGACCAGAAATAACATCTCTGGAGAGATTGCATTTGGTCTGTGAAAATGTATGCACTCTTGCTATTAAAGTGGCACTTCCTAGACCCTTATTGCATACAGAAAGATGTCTGACATCTTTCTGCATATCAGCAGGTACGGTCATTTTATCAGGATTGTTATTCTGAGAAGATTTCTTGGCATGACATACAGGACTGTAATTCTGTCTCCTTTCAGCAGTGCCATTAATGTGCATTCCTTTTTACCAGCAGCCCCTCATCAGCATAGCTGCATCCAGCCCTGAACAAGCAAAAATGAATGTCAAGCCACATCAGATCTGATGCTGATGTTTGGCAATATAAATTAATGAATAAATATTAAACTGTTTATGTTAACAATGACGTAACCTCCTCTAGTTTTGCTAAAATGTGAGTCTTCATCTGCCACGCCTCAATAGGGTGAATATTTCAAGTTTGAAACCTAGATTTCTAAACAGTCGCCTGTGGTAAAGCATGTATTTTAAAATCCTTATACCAGTAAATCTTTGCTGATGGTTTAAAAGACTATGTGCTATTTTTGAGTTATTTAATTTACTTGTATTTTCCTTATTTTTGAACATGACATTTCCAGAAAGGTTATGGTAATGTATATATTTTACACACATAGCCCCACACACCCATGTCCAGAGTATACGTGCTTTCATGCCTGCCTATGAGAAGGAATAAGAAGAGTTGGTTCTGTTCAGTATTATGTGATTTTACAGAGATCTGACTTATTTCCAGGTACCTGGCACAGGAATTTTTTCTTTTGCCTGTGCAAATGCATGTGAAGCAATGGAAATGTTCATTTGGTCTCTAGCTTAGGCGAGACAGATTTCTAAAACATGTCACCTGGAATCTTCTGCTATTACTTGGCGTCACATGCTGCAGATCTGTATTTGTTGCTGAAGTGCAGTGTGCGATGAGTGCTGATATGGTCGTACTTGGAAGGAATGTTTGGATTTAAAGCTTGCACATAGCTCAACTGAGGGAAAAAAAATCTAACTTGCCAAAATAAGAATTGGAAAAATAAACAAACAAACAAACAAAAAAACACCCCCCAAAAAAACACAATTTATGCCACAAATCAGTATAAAAGTAAGGCTGCACTTGCCTGATGATCAAAGCCGTAATCTAATCTGGGAAGGAACATATGATCCTGAGTAGGAGCAGCTTTTCTTTCTGAAAATACCAGAGTTTTGTTTTTTTCTGGGTACATGAGTAATCTCTGGGAAGGTCGTTTGGGGCTGAGATTGGCACAAGAGAGGAGTGGTCTTGGGTGCCTTATTTTTAGAAGTTGGACCTCCCATTCAGAAAACTGCAATCTTTCTAGAATGTTACAAATAAGACATCCGGGGTCTTCCTGAACGTCAAGCACACATTGACTGATTTTTATCTGTTTCATTCCTACAATGGGGGATATTTTTTAGAGGAAACTTGTCACTCTGAAGATCACACTCTGATCTCCTGCAATGTACTTTAACAGAATTTAATAAAATAGGATGCTTAAGGGTAGGTTAAATGGGAGCACAATATTTCTTTCCTCTTTTAAATGCAAAAAGGAAAACACACTCCACAAAACTTCATATTTTCTTGATAATTTAATTTTTCTGAGACTTAAGAATTCATTATATTATAATGAACTCATTCCCACAGTGGTCAAATTCTGAGTTAGAATAATAATTTAAAAAAAAAAACAGATCAAAGTCAGATGTTTTAAAACACATTTATTTAAAGTATCCCCTTAGAGGGCCTCCCTCTTGTTGCTGGGGAGAGGCTGGTGGCACACTCACAAGTTTTTGTGTGAATATATTGGATACGGCTTTCTTTAGGAGAGGAAAGACAGAATGGTTAGGATGCTCCAGGTAATCTGTCTTAATACCCTTCTGCATTTGAGTTTCTAAGCCTTCCATTGGGCAGGCTTGGCTGTGAAAAAAAATTGCAGCTCACATTTACAGTTCATTGGTTCGTGCCAGTAGGCCACAGATGACCTACTGAGAAGATCCTGTGATAGCATTACTTGGAGGTAAAATAAAATCTCCCAGCACCCGCCTCTCCCTGAGTCCTCCCTCACAGAAATACACCCTGCCCTGATCCCACTTGCTGCTTGTCAGCTCCTGTCTCTGCTCCCTGCTGCTGTGTCAGGGTTAATACTATGTGAAAGAGAAACTGGCAAATAGGGAAAGCCATCTTTGTGTGCGTATGTGTGTGTGAGCACTGCTGTTTCATAGGCTCTGGCAGCTGCTGCATGGCTGATGATGCTCGCTCTCTCTTTTTCACCCTGCCTCCCTGCAGACAACTAATGAATCATTTCTAGCCTGAATACAAGCTGTGCAAACACACCAATGCTGCTGCTGCTGCCGCCGCCGCTGCTGCTGCCTCTCTCTCCAAGGTTGTAATTTGACACAGTAGACTGCAGAGCTCTCGGCAATGAATGCTGAACGTCGGAAGCACTTGATTTGAAGGTATGCTGAGATTTCACCTCTTCTAAAAATAGCTATTTCTGCTAAATGCTTTACAGGCAGACTGAGGGTGGGAGAGCTGCAGATTTGTACGTGTGTGTGTGCGTGTGTGTCAAGGGGAGAATTCTTTTTTTAGTTAGCAGTAATGCATCTGTAACTCTTATCAGAGGCAGACAAACTTTATTATTCTGCTGCAATTTGATGATGCCTTTCACTGAATGTTTTCTTGTAGGCGCTGCTTAGAATAATAAAATGTGTTAGTGTCATGCAGTAATACTAGGTAAAGGGATTAAATTCTTGCTAGATTATTCCATCCTCCCTCCTACTGATGTTTAATCTGGTGTCGTTTTCCTGTCATTTTTTATGGTTTCCTATGAAATAAATACTGTATTCACAGGTTTAGTGGTGCCATGTTTCTTTCCTGTATTGGTGTCTGTGGGCAAAGTTAGCAATCATACTGGCTAGCAGCTTCCCCTTCCCCCGCAACCTGAGCCTCGGAGCATGGTGCATATCAGGGTCTCCTTTTGCTTTGCAGATGTATTGTCATGTCGTGGCAAAGTCATGAATCTCTTCCAAAGCAATGCTGTTAATTAAATTACTTGTGATGTTTATCTGGCATTTAATGCTAAATTAGACGCACTGCAAGTAAATATCTCTCTTTTTGTTGGAGGGAGAGGTCTTCTGCAGCTGCACGTATGAGCACTGTGTATAGCAATGTTTGTGAGAATTATGCACATGAATACATAGAGAAGTACAGCAGCATTTTATTATTGGATATGCAAACAAATGCTAGTTCAAATGCTAGTTATTGTTAGCATGTGCAGGAATGCTGTTCTCAGTATTGGAGGGAAGACTGCAGTTTTATGTCGGTATTTTTCTAACCTCACAAACTGGCTGTCACCAATAGACTTGGGCAGACAAGGTATGCCTTTCCAGTAGGAATATGATGATTGACATTACAATTGCATATGGTCTTAATACTGTTTTAACTGAGAGAAATGTAGGCACACGTTGAGGCTTTGGTTTTTCTTTTGTAGCTACTGATGCCTGTTATTTTAGTGGTAAAACACTGACTGGGCTTTTTTTCCAGTTGCGATACTGATTTTATATATAAAATAGCTCAGTGGAATAACTAATCAATGAGTCTTGTCACTGCATCTAGGTAAATACAGAGTCAAGTCCTTAAATGACTGGAAATTTTTAGAAGAAATATATAAAATTAAAGCCCTCGATATTAAGAAATTCACTGAGAGTGTAGAGACAGGCAGATTGTACCAGGACTGCAATCAACAAAATTTGAATAAGGGCTGTTACTTAGCAAGGTTGAAAAGCTGCTTTAGGAAAACAGTGTGAAATATTAAAACAGAGGTCAATGATAGAGTTGAAGTTTCCAGAAATTAATTACAATAAAAAATAACAGCATACATGAACTGATGTGGAAGTTACTCCAGTCACTTTATTTTACCTTTTTGATCCAGAGGTGTTACATTTTTATTAGAGAAAGGCTTTCAGGTTGACCCAGCTGGCAAATGAGAAACAGTGATTCAGATCAAATCTCACAGACAGCCAGGATTCATTAGTATGAATGAAGTATGAATTATGAAATATACTTGCATTACTTTCAGTACCATAAAGGAGGACGTTGGGTCTTGTTTAGATGACTCTTGGTTGTTTTTCTTAAAGATCTGGTGGTTTTGTACACACTACTTTCTTTTTAAAAGGAAAAGGCCCTACTGCAAATTAAACCAGGGAAGCAGTCATGCTGCCTGCAGACAAGACAGCAACCTTGACTTTTCATTGCTATATACCCAAATGGTTTCCAGCTTGATAAGGTACAGCATGACTATACTTGAGGCAGTGAACGGAGATGCAGTGCTATTGCATACAAAGTGATGTGAGTGTGTGTACAAGGAGCACCTTTTTGAGAAAGGTGTTGAATTTTCTGAAATTGTAAGCAAATGATGGCTTTAAAATCAAGCAGCTCTCTGATACACATTACTCAGCTGTTGATTACAAGCTCCAAAATCGAAGCATCTCTGTCTATATGTGGCCAATCTCGTACTGATACAAGCTCTGTGAGTACTTTTCAGTGTACGCAGGATATGTATCTCTTTGTATGTCCATTCATTCTATTTTACATATGTGTAAGATGTGAACACTCGTAATTTAGATAGCTGTGTGACACTGTGTATGAATGGAATGTTTAACCACAGAGGTGTTCATTCTGCTGATAGCTTGTTACAGAAGTGCAGGCCTTTCTGGATTGCTAGGACTTGGAGTCCGATGCTTCCAATTGCTGGGTAATTCGTGTCCTCTGGTATTAAGGACTTTTCCTTTCTGTTA